ATAGAAGAACTTCATCGGAGACCTTGGAGTTGTTCCCGCCATCAAGGAGCCAATGGAGATTTTCTGTGATAATGAAGGGGCAGTTGCCTTAACAAAGGAACCAAGAGATCATGACAGATCAAGGCATATTGATAGAAAATACCATTTCATTAGACATAGAGTAGAAGAAGGTCACCTCATCGTGAAGTGGGTATCGTCAGAAGAGAACCCTGTAGATCCCCTCACAAAGGGTCTGAATAAGGTCAAGCACGTTCAGCATGCTAGGAGCATTGATCTGAAGGATGATGCTAGTTTTAGTAGTTAGATAGTTAGTTTTGAAACTTGTAACGAAATAAATGTAATTGACTTTTGGTGATTAAGTAATGGAGATTTATTTATGAGTTGGATTACTACCTTCTGTCTATTATTTATTTTGTGTTTCATTTTGCATGTTTTACTTCCCGAATAATTAGATTGTTCAAACATCCACAGTCGATCATACTTTTGGAAGTAAGTAGTGAATCAAGATTGTCATGAATTGAATTTTAGACTGTATAAAGGGTTTTAGACATAGCAATGGTATTATTTCAATATTTGTGAGTACTTTGAAATAGAGAATTTAAGTATTGGATTAACCCACGCTCAGAGAATTACTTCATGGAATTTATCACGAGTAATTCTAAGATTATAATATCTTATAATATTTAAACAGAGATATATGAGTTGTTATTTACAAGTTGGTTGTGCATTGATGATACAAAAACGCATCGGTAACTTGATGTTATAAAATGTATTGTTATGCATGATTTGATGAGTAAATAGTACAAGCATATAAGTCAAAGTTTATCTGTTCCTTTTTATCCTTAGGGGGAAAAGCGATATCTTTGGGCCCCTACATGATTTGGTGTTGACTTATAGTGTCGGGCCCGACCAGGACTAAATTGATGTGTTCGATTAGTAGTTCTTTGTCATTACAAATCAGAAATCGGGAAACAGAGTATTGGACATGAGATTGATGTTATTTCATGTCTCATATCCACGCGACATCTTGCAGAATGGAGGATTATATGATCACTTATCTTAGGACACATAACTAACTAGGTCAGAGTTCGACAACAGCTTTGAGAGCTACAATTTTCTAATCAGCTTAGAAGAATATATTGACAATTATAGTTATTAGACTTATCTAAGTGGGAGATTGTTGGATTAGGTGTCTAAGCCCATAACTATGATTGGTATATACTTGAATTGATAGTAGCACAGTCCTTTTGGGTTGCCCTCAATACTAGCAACTAGACAGGATGATTTTGGAGAAAGAGGTTGATTTATTATTTGATTGATAAGTTGAAATAAATGATTTTTTAATGTATTATGAGAATAATATATTAACTATAAATGGTAATATTTAATCAGAAATTAATTAGAATTAATTTTGGGATTAAAAGAATTAATTAAAAGTGCATGACTGAAGTGAAATTGTTCAATAGTTGAGCAAGAGGCAATCTAGAACCCTCCATAGGCTTGGACAATTTTCTTAAGGCCTTAAGGTTCCTAGAATAGTCTTTGGTGGATAAACAGGAAAGTGGATAATTACCTGGTTTAAGATAATATTGGATTAGGACTTATCTAGGGTTTCCTGACTGTACTATATAAACAACCTAAACCCTACAATTTTCGACCACTCTTTCCTTTGAAGAGCTGGCCGAAAATTTAAGTCTCTCTCCTCCTTCTCAATCAGCTTCCATTGCTAGTGTTGGGTGTGAACCACTAGAGGCGTGACACTTGTGACGCTTGCTCTCAAAGCTTAAACAAAACAAGGATTTTCATTGCAGTTACTATATAGCAATCAAGGCATGATTCTTCTAACCCTAATTGTGTATTTCGATTATATACTAGTGTTGTAGGGTTTTTCTATTTTGTTGTTCAAGTTGTATGTTCAATTAGAGAAAATATAGACCAACAATTAGGATTGCATGCACACATAGGATTTATATGTTTTGCATAATAGCCATCACCAAATTCTTAGGAAGGGCGGGATTCCACTAATCTTCCAAATTCCATTTTGAAGGACATAATTCATACCCTTGTCATTATCAAATTTAAAAAAGAACATGTCTTCATTATTAATAAAAATGGCGGATAACCCATGTTCCTTCCATACATCTTGAAGACGATCTTTAACATGAGGGAATGCGAGTCTTTTACCCACAAAATAACCATATAAGGTACGTTCAAAAAGGATGCTTACATTAATCATAATTTTCGTTGGTACAATCAAGACGTTATCTTCAAGGGTTTCAATAGTGCTAATATAATCAAGATGTAAAGGTTTGCAAACTGGAACCAGATTTTGTCAGCTTCACAGATAATAGAATCCTCCACACTAGGAACAAAAATGGTTGTAAAGAGCTCAACAGGAGGAGGGCTAGAATGACCATTTAAAATTTCAGCGTAAGAGATAGTGGGTTGAACAAACTATGGACTATTAGGACCAAAGAAATGAGGAGGTTGATCGTTATCTTCATTGGGTGGCTGAGATGACTGTGTGGGGTCCAACAACATTGAGATAGGCAAATGAGAGTTTCCCGGAGCATTAAATGATTTGTTCCCCTCTTTATGACAGTTATAAATGCATATGGGGCTGCCATCTTTAAATCGTTGTGTCTAGCTCACAAAATACCAAATTAGAGGGGTAATTAATGCTCCTCTATAAAGAGGAAGTTGCGTGTCCAGCTTTAATTTCTTGTACCCTATGACTTTCCAAACTATGCATATTCACAACAGAGGGATTAAATACGATGCATAAAGAATCACATGGAGTCGGTTCCACCAAAATTCTATTGCCGAAATTGGATGTAAAATTATCGACACCTTCCCTAATAAAACTTTGACTTTCCATATTAAAAAATCATCCTTTCCAGTAACGTCCCAAAATTTAAGGCCAAAAATTTCATTTTTAAATTAATAAAACCAGTATTCCATAAACATCTTCATAAGAATCCAGATAACACAAATGTGTCAATCATTACATCAAATCAGAGTAAGTTAAGAAAATGCAGAACAAGGTGGTGTGTTCTCTGCAAACATCCCGAGCTCTTCCTTTTGAAAATAGAAGTACCTGAAACATAAACTGAAAACCATAAGCACAAAGCTTAGTGAGTTCCCTAGAATACTACATATCACACATATATTTTCCATGGGGTACCCTCATGGTCTTTTCCTTGAAATGTCATGGGCTCCACCCTTGGTCTGACATCCAAGTGCCATGGGCTACCCCATGGTCTTTCCCTAAAATGCCATGGGCTACCCCCATGGTCTTTCCTTGAAATTCCATGGGCTCCCCCATGGTATGACATCCAAGTGCCATGGGCTACCCCCATGGTCTTTCATACAAATATCACAAAGACAACTATCATTCCACATAACAAGTAATGGGCCGACATTAATGTCTTCGACCCATGGACATGATGAGAAAACTCACCTAACACTATTGAACCAACTACCTAGCTGCTGGTCCGACAAATCCCCGAGCTAACAATATCAATAACATTCAATTAACAATTGGATTCCAATCCATAACCATCAGACAATACATAGGGTAAATGAAAAATTTACCCCTTACCTAGTTTGGACCAAGGCTTAAGCCCAAACCTAATAATCCAAAAGGCCCAAATACCAAATAATCATACAAGGCCCAAATATTGCTCAATTTTCCAAATTGGGTCCAAACCTTTTCCATAGGTCTTAATCCAAGGTTCAGAAACATTCTTATCCCAAAACACTTAAATTCTGATGGACCAACAAGGCCGTAAACATCTAGGCACAAACTATGGCCCAAATCGAAGGCCAAAAGATCTGAGGCCCACTCTGCTGAGTACGCGGGGCATACTCAGCTTGTACGCGCATCGTACTTGCCTTAGGGCTTGTACGCTAAGTGTACCTACTTTTACGCCCATCGTACCCTCGCATACAACCAAATTCCATATGAAGCTCTTATTTCATAAAGACTTTACTTCATAACCTAGATCTGACTTCCTTGGACTGATTTATTACATAAAGTTGCTAACTTTACATTCATGCATGGCTAAATGAAGCTCTTAAGCTTAAAAATGACTTAATATGTGACTTAATGCATGCATGAGACCCAATACCTTATAAAGTTGGCACATTTATGCTTAAGGAACTCCCAACAAGCTCAGATCTAAAAGAATAAGTCCTTTAACCATCTTAACTCAACACCCAACCCAAAAAGGGACCAAAAACATAAAAAAAATCAAGCCATAAAGAGCTCTAAGCATTTATAAGCCAAGGTATGAACTTGATACCTCCAAACCCTTGCAAAAAGGGTGATGATTCTGGATCCATAAACTCCTCGCCAAGGAAAGCACCTTCAATCTTCTTTACTTCCTTCACAAAGGGAAAAATAACCACCATAATCTTATTAAGAGCTCAACAACACCACAAAGAAGGCTTAAGGGTCGATTTAGGGTTTTATAAGGTTTGGTGACTGGTAAAGAGGCTATCCCTAAAGACTCAAGGTGCTTAAATAGGATACAACACACTTAAATTAGCGTTCAATGCACTCCTCGTACGCCCAGCGTACATCTCGTATGCCCAACGTATGAGGCCAAGGCTTTGCGATCATTCCTTCTTGGTATGCTAAGCGTACACCAATGTACGCCCCGCGTACTGCACTTTACACAAGTACACCCCGCATACTCCTTATGTACGCCCCGCGTACTAGGGTTTCCCTTAAACCCTAAAATGCTCTGAAGGCCATAACATCTTCATTATAAATCTGATTTCGACGATCCTTATCTCCACGAAAAGGTAACAAGAAGCTCTATGCTTTTATCAACTCATATGCGCCTTATGATTTCCCGAACAAGAATCCAATTTCCATAAAATCTCGAGCTGACACTTTACCAAAATACCCCTTGGCTCTAAAACACAAACCACGCACCCGGATCATCAAAATTACGTCACTCACACCCTAATGGGAAATGATTCGGGACAGGGCGTTACATTCCTATGCTAGAAGATATCGTTGTATGCTCCTTTTCTAAACATGCAGGGGAATCTTTTCCTAAAACATCTTTGTCCACCATCAGGGGAGATGACCGGTGAATAATAAGATTAGCAGGAACAACACCCTCACTTGGAGAAGGAGCAATGACATATGGCAGAGGGTCTTTGCTGGAAATCACATGGCCTTTGACAGACATCGGAGTGGCCATCGTCGGAGAAACAAATTTGACAGCAAAAAACTCCTCCGACATGTCGTGATTATAAACGAATTTCTCACAGGTTTCATTGATTGTATGAGGATCATACGTAGCATCAAAAGAAACTTCAATATCATTTTCGGAGACAATATCATCTCCAAACTCGTAGGCAGTAGCAGCTTCATCATAAATTTTTCCAATATTTTCAACATTTCCAATAGAAGCTTCACAGGAGATAGGAGAATCAGAGAAGAAAACCTTTTTGTTGCTATGATTGCTATCACAAAATGCAGTGCAAGATCCAGAGCTCTCATCAAATTCAGGACTGCCATGAACAAATTGAACATCTTCTTCCTTTTTAGGGTTATCTTCAAAGTGGAAAGAATCAAGAACACAAGCCCCTTTATCATGATATTTGGATTTTTTGATGATTTCTGAACCCTATGAATCTTTCCTATAACAAATACAACAAAAAAAAACGGATTAAAAGGGATTAAGCATAAAACCCAAGAAAAGACAAGAACACTTAATCTCCAAAAGAATTTCCTAGAGAGAAAAATTCTAGATAGATAAAGTACTCCACGGGGTTTGGGTTTAGGGTTTAGGGTTTAGGGTTTAGGTTTTACGGTTCAGGGTTCAGGGTTTAGGGTTTAGTGTTTTTTTTGGAAAAAAAGGGGAACACCCCTTAGCAAATATCATTAAAAAGAGAAAGAAAATACAAAATAATTGAGGGAAAGTGCCCGAAAAAATGAAAGACAAGTCAAAGCTAAGGAACATGCACCAAAGCAAAGACAAACTAACCAAATGAAGGAACTGACTAGACAAAAGACCTAAACTTTTACCCCTGGTCAATTGGATCAGAGATACAAACACCATGAGAGGAGCTCGGATGTGTGTCATTGACTGGGTGAGCATTTCTAGATTGGATGATAGGAGGGATATGAGATTCTTATTCGGTGACATCGACTCTTTGACGCGAAAGGGTATCAAACATGTTGGTCGAAGCCATCTTCTTTGGATTGTCACGAATGATTGGCCTGAAAACTTTAGACATCTTTATGGTCGACCCTTTAACTTTACGGTTGTTGACTTGAAATTCTTTTTAAGGATAGGAATTGCTTTAGTTCTCCTTTTAACCGGTTGAAAACCTTCTTTATCAACTTCTTTTGGAATGGGTGTAGCCGTCTTTTGGACTAATGTGTTGGTCATGTGAGTGGGACAATTGGCATGGTCATGACCAAATATTTTACAACGATTGCATCTATTAGGATTCCAAGAATATTCCACTCAAAGGGTAGTAGAAGTTTCACCTTTATTTGTGAAGGCTTTGATTTTTATATCTTTATCCCAAGGATCTTTTACCGACATCTCAATGAGTATACGAGCATAAACCACTCTACCCGTAGCATGCTCACACATGGTGGTAGTGTAAGAATCAATCTCCAAAGGTTTTCCAAGTTTGCTAGCAATGAGGCTAAGACCAACGTTATTAAAATGTTGGAGAGGAATGCTAAAAATATTAACCCAAACGGGAACCTGATCATGAGTTGGTTTTTTCAATGAAAACATCCAGGTCCCATTTTCTTAGGAAAATCAGGATTCCATTGATCTTCCAAATCCCCTTTTAAAGGACGTAATTCATACCCTTATCGTTATAAAATTTAAAAAAGAACATGTCATCATTATTAATAAAGATGTCACATATCACATGTTCCTTCCATGAGTCATGAAGAAGATATGGAACAAGCGGCAAAGCTAGTCTTTTACCCACAAAATAACCATATAAAGTACGTTCGAATGGAATTCTTCCCTTGGATATGATCTCCGATGGAATAATTAAAACATCATCATCCAAAGTTTAGGGTTTAGGGTTTAGGCTTTAGGCTTTTTTATAAAAAGGATTACCATTGGCAAATTTTATTTAAAAAAAAAGAAATTACAAAGAAAGAGGGAAAACTCCCAAGAAATAAAAAACAAGCCCAAGCTAAAGGACATGCCCCAAAACTAAAGCAAAGATCTAACTAAACTAAGACCTAAAATCATCAACACTGATCAACTGGAGTAGAGATATGGCCACCGTGAGAGGAGCTCGGTTGTGCGTCGGAAGTTGGGAGGATATCTCTAGAGTGGATGATAGGGGGATACTAGAATCATCTTCTGTATCGTCAACTCTTTGATGCAAAAGAGAATCCAACATGTTGGTCGACACATTCTTCTTCTTTAGATCATGAATGATTCGCTCGTAGACTTGAGTAATCTTTAAACCGACCCCTTTTCCTTTACAGTTGTCGACTTGAACCTTCTTTTTAGTGAAAGGAATAGCTCTAGTTCTCCTTTTAACCGTTTGAAAACCTACTTTGTCAACTTATTTCGGAATGGGTGTGGCTGTCTTTTGGACGAGAGTGCAAGTCATGTGAGTGGGGCAAGTGGCATGGTCATGACCAAAAATTTTGTAATCGTTTCATCTCTTAGGATTCCAAGAATACTCCACTCGGAGTGAAGTAGAGGTTGCACCGTTATCCATGAACGCTTTGATTTTTCTTTCTTTTTCCCTGGGATCTTTAGCCAACATCTCAATGAGAATACGAGCATAAACCACTCTACCCGAATCCCACTCGCACATGGTGGTAGTATAAGAATCCACCTCCAAAGGCTTTCCAAGTTTTCTAGCAATAAGACTCAAGCCATCCTTGTTAAAAAGTTGGAGAGGGATGCCAAAAATATTAAGCCAAACAGGAACCCGATCATGTGTTGATTTTTCAATGAAAATATATGGATCCCATTTGCGGAGAAAGAGCAGGATACTATTGATTTTCTAGGTGCCCTTTTGAAGAACATAGTTCATTCCCACATCATTATCAAATTTAAAAAGAACACATCGTCATCATTTATAAAGATGTCACAAAGCCCATGTTCCTTCCATAATTCTTGAGTGCGATCTTTAACGAGTGGAAAACAAGTCTGTCTCCCACAAAATATCCATATAAAGTGCGTTCGAAGGGGATACTACCTTTATCCGATATATCCGCGGGAATAAGGATAGTGTCATCTTCTAAAATATCAATATTATTAATGAAATCAAACTTTAATGGATTGCAAAGAGGAAACTTTTCTTCAAAAACCAAAAAATCAGATTGAGCGTTGGGAATGTAAATTTGAATTAAATTGTGGTTGGGTTTGTATCAAAGGCAGTCCAACAGTAGGAATTGGGCTAGGAGAGGAGCAACCCATAAGAATTGCGGTGTAGTTGCAGGCCTGTTGAATAAAACGTGGGCTGCTAGGTCCAAAGGTAGAAGCAGGTGGGATCCAAGCTTCTGTGGTTTGCTGAGAAGACCAAAGGGGGGAATGAACGTGCTGCTGAAGAGAGTGAGGAGGAGCAGAGGAAGAATTTAATGACTTTTCCCCTCCAATTAAAGATACATTAATTCTTATGGGGGATACAGAGGGATAAGCCGACAGAGGGATAAGCCGACGACACATTCCCCACAAAATCCTATCTTGTGATATCCAAAGCTGTAGACCCTTTTTGACTTTCAATATTAATAAGACTAATTTATTCGGAACATGTAGCCAAGGTGGGAGGATCCAAGTCTACAAGGGAATTGAATTCCATATCAGAACAATTAATGCTTGGGTGGGGGGCACAACCAGCTGACGTCGAATTCTTAGCACCCAAACCCAAATTGCTTCCTAAAAAATTGGAATCTTCATTACCCATAGGTTGACTTTCTAAAGAAGAAAGATTTTGATTTCCCATGCATGTAGAATCAAACAAACTAAGGGCAGTTTCCTTTCCCATGAAGAGATTTGGACGTTTAAGTGTATGATTCTCAAAGGTAACCTCATCAATTCCATGTTTTGAGGAGACCACCGTGTGAGGGAGTGACCGGATTCTCAAAGGTTAGCGGACTCAGACGGTGAAACTTTTGAATTCTTTTCCTCATAGTATTTCCATCTAATTTATTCAAGACAACGATCATCCTTAATGAAAGACTCGTTGAAGATGAAACCTGAGAAAATTTTAGACTCAACAACACCATCTACATTCTCTTTGTTATTTGCGTCAGGAGGAAGAACACCCCATGCTTTATGGGGCAAGTGGCATGGTCGTGACCAAATTTTTTCCAATGATCGCATATCTTAGGCTTCGAAGAATACTCCACTCTAAGTGTTGTAGATGTAGCTGTTGGATTAGGTGTCTAAGCCCATAACTATAATTGGTATGTACTTGAATTGATAGTGGCATGGTCCTTTTACTATGCATTCACACTAGCAACTTGACACGATGATTAATTGAGGAAGAGGAAGAATTTATTATTTAGAATAATAAATTGGAATAAATTATTTATTAATATGTTATGAAAATAATATATTAATTAGAAATCATATTATTAATTAATATTTAATCAGAAATTAATTTGAAGTTAATTTTGGGATTAAAGGAATTAATTAAAAGTGTAGGGGCTGTTTTGCAATTTATTGATAGTTGTGGAATTTGGCTCTTGGACCATCCTAGGAGGGATGGACAAAATTCTCTAGGGAAGGACCTAGAAATTTCGTTCATGGCCTTAAGGATGAGGATCCATGAGCTGCTTAGACCTTAAGCAAAGGGATTAGGGTTTCCTTATCTTAACCCTAGCTTTGGCCCTAAGAAACCAACAACTATATAAAGGGCATAACCCCTTGTGGATTTCGACAAAAATGCAAAGGTTCCTAAACCCTAAGAAAACCAAAAATTATCTCCTCTCTCCTCCTCTCATAATCATCCTCTTGCTAAGTGTGTTTGTGAGCCATTAGAGGTGTTACGCTTGTGACACTAAGTTCTCAAAGTTTAAGATCTACAAGGTTTTAGATTGTTATTACAATATAACAATCAAGGTATGTATTTTGATCCCTATGATGTGAATTTCGATTATAATACATAGATCCTAGGGTTTCTTGTATTGTGTTCATTGTTTACATGTTCAATAGAGAAAACTTAGATCCAATTAACTTAGGGTTACATGCACACATAGGAATATATGTTTTGCTAAAAACCCATCAGTAGCACCTTTATCCATGATTGCTATGATTTATATTTCTTTTTCCCAAGGATCTTTAGCCGACATCTCAATGAGAATACGAGCAAAAACCACTCGAACAGTAGTCCGCTAACACATGGTGTTAGTATAAGAATCAACCTCCTTATTAAAGAGTTAAAGGGTAAAGCCAAAAATATTAAGCCAAATGGGAACTCAATCATGAAATGGTTTTCCAATAAAGACGTTCGGGTCCCATTTGCATAGAAAGAGCGGGATACCCATGATCTTCCAAATTCCCTTTTGAAGGACGTAGTTCATACCTATATCATTAACAAAATTAACCATTCTAGTATTGGTAGACCTCCCTTTGAAATTACTTTTTTTAGGGTTTAGGGTTTAGGAATGTACAACCAAGCGACGATGTACAACCAAGCGTATGGAAACGCTTATATAAAGCGTACATCATACAAGCGGCGATGTACAACCAAGCGTATGGAAAGCCTTATTACGTCCAATAGTTGATGATGTAAGGTGGTTTTCCATATCCACATGTGGAAAATCCGCTAATTAGGGTTTGATATGGAAAGTAGACGATCCCTCCTTCTGGAGAAGAAGGTTCCTTTTATACCTGTTGTCCGTAGTGCATGATCCCAACGGTGTCCTTTGTCCCTTCTGAGCCGACATGATGTGGAGGAGTCCCATTGGAGGATCGTGCACCACTAGTGGTCATCTGCTATTGGTGCAGAGTAAACAGAGGACAGTGCCTTTGACACTACACATGTTGCTTTGGGAGACGACCAGCTGTGATTTGTCTTATTATAGACTGGAGATTGTCGTCAGGAATTAGAAATGGGCATGAGGGCGCCAAGCATAAGGATCCTAACAAGAAGGTGAGGGCCCGGGTTTGGCACTATGATAGATCTGCGGCCGTTAGTTAGGTCTTCCTAAAGATAATGGTTCTGTTATTTTAACTTATTCCTAGTAGGATGCGTTAACACTTTTATTAAGAATAAAGTTAGGTACAAAGCTTACACGTTTTGTCTGGACGTTTCATGATTAACGTTTTGTCCAGATGTGTCATGATTTAATCAATATGGTAATTTGTTATAGAATAACATAAATAAAAATAAAACATATTGTTTATGTTGTTATATATTTAGAGATTGTATTGGAAAAACAAGTTTGTAATGATACATTTTTCATTTAGTGCTTTGACAGGTCTGAACAAATCTGATAGACTTTTGCGTAATATTGGTGCAATTAATAGTTTTCATATAAGAGACTTAAAAATATGAAGTTGTAATGAAACAATAACAATCCATTTCGAAGATAATTTTTTGAATGTTTCTTTGATTTCTGTGGTCAAAAAGGAAGAATTAGCAAAGGTTACAAATAGAGTTGTAATGGATCGTTTCCATGATATGACAACTCGTAGAGGACAATTATAGTATGCATTTGATTTTTTTTCAATTTAACTTTATTATCAGTATTTAGGATCATTTTGACCTCACTTAAAAAAGTCTTAATATTTTATGCCCCCAACACATTCAAATCCTAGATCCACAACTACTTATCAGCGTGAATTGTTTTGATCAAACTTATCAGTGAGAATCATTTTTATGGCTCATGTTAGTTCATCTCTATCACAATGTTTTACGACAATCCTATATAACCTATATTCATATTCATATTGATATTTTTAATGTGGATACCGTTTAGGGAATGAATCAAATGGGGAGATCAGAAAAGTGGCGATTCTTGAAGATTGGATTCCAAAAGTGACGCCGAAGCTTCTTTTATTCAAAACTTTGACCTTAGAACAAGTTCCTGATCATGGAACTGTTCACTTTGTCTGCAGCTCATGGGTGTACCTTATGCTCATCGTTAGAAGTATAACTACATCTTCTTTTCAAACAAGGTAAATCCCTTTTTTTACTGCATTTTTTCTCAGAATAAACATAAACACTACTATAAATGTAACTGTGACATTAAAATGAATTAAATACATACTAATTTAACAACAATATGATATATTTTATATATTTTTTATTAAATAATTTGAAAAAAAACAACTATGTTATATAGATTAAAAATAGGGATGGAGCCATTAAAAGTTGTACTGTTTCAATCTTCTTGAAAAAGATGTTGTCATGGTTCTACATATAAAAATGGACTACTAGTTCAATCTTCTTGAAAAAGATGTTGCCATGGTTCTACATATAAAAACGGACTACTGAATGAGAGTAAAATGACTAGTTTATCCTTCTGTTTATTTGAAAACTATACATTGGTTATGCTTTTAGAATCTTTCAGATTTGTTTATGCATATAAAAGCCAAGGACATAATGAGAGTAGAATGACCATTTTACCTTTTGTTTATTTGAAAAGTTGAGGGTTGAATAAGAGTAAAATGACCATTTTAACCAATTGTATTCCATTTTCTTGAGCTGCCACCGCTTCAATTCGATTCAGTAGGATTTTGTGGTAATTTACTCATGATTTCGTATATTTGAATGCTTGATTGGATGTAATCAATCTCAATTTTTTTAATTGATGAAAACATGTGACTGACATTCCGATGACCAGGTACAACTACACCGACGAGCGGTTGTATGATAATGTAAAATACCCTAAAACCTAGATCGAGAATTCTGATAATTGCATAATATCAATATCAATTCATTAATCATTAAAGTTTTTTTCTTTTGTATTTGATCATCTTCATTAGCCAACTGAACACAACTCTTACGCCGACATAGAAGTTGCATGTGTGTGTTTTGTGTGTCTTCTGTTTATCGGAGACTGTTGACATTGCTCAAGAACGAGTATCTGTAGGAATGGGTTTGTTAGTTGGTTTAACATTCGTGCTTCAACTTACTAGGTGCATCCCTCCAATAATGAAACATGGAAGAATTAAATCAAATCTTGATGGGTAAATCAGTAATTTAAACACTGCAATTATAGGAATAACATGATTCAAGATTTCTTCATTTCATTCCTATGTGAAAATGACTTGAATACTTCTCAAGTAAAGGTAAAAAACTAAAATAATATTCAATTATCACTATTTTTTTATTATGTTGTAGTTGATAGAAAAGTGTGGAGACTTAGTATAAGATTCAGCTAGGTCCTAGGGTCATTTTTTGTAGTTTGTGTTTTATTGAATAAGAACTATGTATATTGTTGGATTATTATTGTGAAGAGATGAATATTAAGGTTCCTATCTACTTACATACATGACTGGTTTTTTATATTTATTATAACCACACTTTATTCAAACATGTGGCGTAGCGCGGACTTTTTTACTAGTTAATATAGTGTCTTATATATATAGATTCTCCGGTTAACCCAAATAAAGGAAAAATTAAATTAAGTGAATCCAACAAGAAGGTTACTATTATTCGGTTAATTAAACCGAATTGCTCGAAAAACAAAAATAATCCAATCCTTATTCGGCTCAGGTGGATTATTCAATTTCAGTGTTTCATTTCAATTGCTATTCAACTGTTAAATGAGAAAAAACAAACTTTTTAATTTTTTTATGAGCTTGTAAAGTTCAGCATATTGTAGGAATAAACGGTAAAGTTACGGTAAGGTTTTATGAAAAATAGAATGTCGATGACGTAATAGATTAAAATTTATAGAGTTTATGGACGTCCTTATATGCTCCAATTTTTGTTCACGTTGTTGATTCCATCTACCATCTATATTCTTTATTCCGAGAACTCGAAAACATACTTAATCCTGAAAATATGGTGGGCTAAAATCATAACACAACCTTTATCTTTGCCTTGCTAAAAAAAGTCAGTCAACCTCGGATATTAGAAGAATATGAGGTAAGTAGGTTTAAATTCCTACAAATTTAAAGGATTCTTGAAGCCATGCAAGAAGCATGAAAATTAAACGGTAGTTAACCCATCAAGAATGCATGTTCGAGCTAATTAACCTTAGCAACATCGAACACCAATTATTTCAAGAATTAACAGCAAATACCACGTAGCCATGGATACTTACGTGAAACTTTGTCTCTCGACTCTTATCATGGCATTGTCACTCATCATTTCATCAGTGTTTGCCAGTCCTTCAGGAAACAATGACATCGTCGTGGCTATCCAAGAGATGGAGAGAGCAAATTACTTCACCTTTGTCATGCTTATAAACATGGTTCCTCCTAGTCTGTTCCAAGGCAATATCACTTTCTTGATGCCAAGTGATAGATCACTCTCTAGAACAAAGATACCACAAAACAGTGTTGTGGATCTCTTGCTCAACCATTCGATTCCCTCCCCTTTGCTTTTCGATCACCTTATTCATTTGCCCACAAACAGCACGCTACCTACATCAAACCCCGACTTGATGCTTAAGGTCTCTAATAGTGGCAGACGGGATTTGTTTCTTGGGAATGTTAGAATCGTTAGTCCTAATATATGCACACATGGGTACTCGGTGCGGTGCCATGGAATAGATGATGTGCTTAGTATTGAGAAACCTGAAATCACATGCCCTAGAGTTGCCTCTCCAATTCCAGGTATTGCCCCACTGTTGGCACCTGCTAGTCAGGCTCCTGCATCAACTCCACCTCATGCTGACGCTTATGAAACCTCAGGTGGTCGAAGACCACATATAGAGTTAGCATTGCCATGTATCACGTTTATGTGGGTATTATTTATAGTAAAGTCGTGTGTTTGATTTAGCTCATGAATTTTTGATTCTTAAAATTGTTGCGATTTCCACAACCTTACGATATACATGTATCTGATCCCCATAAATTTGTAATGTTTATCAAATAAATCAATTGAGTCATAAGTTGAGCTGGTTTTATTCTTTGTTTTAAGGCCACCACACCGTTCCTAATTTAATCCCCACCCTTGTCGCCAAGTAGCCTACATATAACATCGTCATTACAAGAAAAGTATTTGTTAGTGACCAATATTTAGTGACGACCAAAAATATGGTCACTAACAACATCATTAGTCACTGTATATTAAGTCGTCATCGAATTTTGGTAGTAATGCAAATTTAGTGATAAAATCTACGATGGTTGTTACTAAGCGGTAACTAAATCATAGAAAAAATTTATTATTACTATTTAATTTCATGACAAATATTAATGACTATAAATAGTGGTTACTTATTCGATGCTTAATAACCAAAACTAGTTGCTACTGCATCGGAGACTTAGTGACCAAAAATTATGGCCATTAAGTATTATTCGTTTTTCAAATCCACACATTGTGACGACATAATTTCGGTCAATGAATTACAACATAAAAAGTATCAATGACCACAAAATACTTGTCACTTATTATTTATAGATAAATCTCAATTATAGTCCTATTATTTTATCATAATTTACGAATAAGTCACAAACTAAATTTTGTTTTACGAAAAAAATATGAACAGCCGGTAAAAATGACGATTTAAATGAGTTGGAGAAATCTCCATTAAAATACCATTATTTTATCCTAATTTACGAATAAGACTCAAACTAAAATTTATTTACAAAAAACATGAGTTACTGGTAAAAATGATGATTTCTCCATTTTCTCCATGTAACACATATTTTACCGGTATTAAATAAACGGGTGAGATGGATATGATGAGTTATATAATGCTCTGTTTACCGTAAAACTTGATTCCATCTCATCATCTCAATTAATGACTAAGCGTCCATGTCAGCAAAGAAACCGATAAAATGTGTGTTACCAGGAAAAAGGGCGGAAAATAAGTTGATGAGACGGATATGCTAAGTTATATAACATTAGATATGCAATTTGAAATTTCTTATAAACTTTAAGATGATGAAGTTTTTGTTAGTTTATTAATTATTGTAGTATTTGTTGGATGCATTTCATAACCCAAAAAATATACAATGCATCAGGATATCAAGTTTTACGATAAGCATTTATAGGTTTTATAGGTTACAAAAAATATGTGGCGGAAAAAACCTAACCCTAAGTTCACATGCAACCTATTAGATATAAGTTTTGTAACGACCCAAAATTCAAGGCCAAAAATTTCATTTTTAAATAAGTTATTATAAAACCATAAGTATAAAACATCTGTAATAACATCTCACGTCAAAACTAAAGTGTCAGTAATCGAAACATGTTATCATGAAATAAATATCAGAGTGTGATCTCAAAGATCTCATGTGCGAAAAACATGGTGTGATGCGCTGCGATCGAGCCGACTCCTTTCCTTTGAAAACGAAGTACCTGAAACCAAAACTAAAAACCGTAAGCACGAAATTTAGTGAGTTCCCCAGAGCATACCCCACAATTAATCCACATAACACATATCATATTAGCTATAAAAGCTATCTCTACTACATAAGCCATACCAATTGCATAAGCATGCATATACACATATGAAGATGCCATGGGAACCCTCCAAGGTCTTATTCACATACTCACATAAATCATATCAACTTCACAAGCCATACATATAAACATACAGGGAAGCCATGGAAACCCTCCAAGATCTTACACCGGGTGCCACTGGAACCCCCACGTGGTCTTAGCCCACTGCCATGGGAACCCCCACATGGTCTTATATCCAACTGCCATGGGAACCCCTACATGGTCTTAGCCTGGAACGCCATGGGAACCCCCACATGGTCTTAAATCCCACTGCCTCGGGAACCCCCGAGGTCTTCCATGCAAGCAACACAGAGTCAACTAGCACATCGCATATAACAGAATATCTAGCATACCACTTATCACATAATAGCTAGCATACCACATAACACATATAACTAATTGATGGGTTTTGAGCATTCTAACACTTCCTAAGTGTACATGCAACCCTAATAACCTTGGATCTATGTTTGTCTAATAATCATGCAAAGTTGAATTCCAAGGTTATATTCCTATCTAGCATACATGGGGAACATTTTTAACTTGAATGAAAGATAGAATAACTTACCTTGTTGTTGATTATGATCCTTGAAACCTTGTGAGCCTAGCACCCCAAGTGTGATGCCTCAAATGCTTCACACAACACCAAATGCAAAGGAGTAAACTTTGAGAGAATCTTACACTTGCAAAATCGGCTCTAGCCCTCTTGTTTCTTAGTGTCGCCGATTTTGGGGGAGAACATGTTGCTTATATAGTGTGTCACATCTAGGGTTACACCATGTAAACCCTAATGTGGCATGACTCTTCATTTCTATGACCCATGGGTTTGTAACTCCCATGGAGCCTCCATGGAGCATTCAATGGGTTTAACCCAACTTGATTATCCATGGAGCCTTTTAGCCCACTATACAAGTTATGGATGATTTACATGATCAACCCATATATTTAATTAGTCATCTTTTGATCACTTAATTAATCCTAGATTAATTCTTGATCAATACTAATTAAATAATACTATTAATATATTAGAACTTATAATATATTAATAAACCACAAGTGTTATTTCTCTCATTTAGTCTATCCAAATGCATGATGCCATGCAACCCAAATGGACCATGCCGGGTCGGGTCAAGTACATACCAGAAATAGTTATGGACTTAGACACCTTATCCAACACTAATTGCCATGGGAACCCCCACATGGTCTTAGTCTACTGCCTCGGGAACCCCCCGAGGTCTTCCATGCAAACGTCATACTAACAAAACACATAATCAGCTAGCATATCACATATCATAAAATGGGCCGGCCTTGGTGCCTTAGACCCATTGGTATGGTGAGGAGACTCACCTGGCACTGCTAAAGTCCCGCAGACTCAACCCCAGCTGCTGGATGATAGCTTCCCGAACTGTCAACACCAAAATAACACCTAATTAATAATTGGGTTCCAATACATAACCATAAGTCCCTACTTTGGATAATTACTACATTACCCCAAGCTTGGCTTATTCAAGCCCGAGGCCCAATCCAAAGGCCTAAAAGTCCAACTATGGCTCAAAGCCCAACATATGGCCCAATTTTCCAAATTGGGCCCAGGCCTATACATGGTCTTATTCTAAGGCCCAACATCATATAATCATTAAGGCCCAAACTATGGCCCATCTATGGCCCAATCTTCCAAATTTGGCCCAAACCCCTTACATGGGCCTTACCCTAGGCCCATTAAATTATTTTAGCCTATTTGCTTGTTCTTGGATGGCCCATTATTATCCCAATCGTTAAAGCCCAATAGAAAGGCCCAACTTAAGGCCCAAGTGAAATTAGGGTTTCACATAAAATGGTGATTAGGGTTAAGTTTCCTACTTAACCCATTAAGGACTTAATCTACTAAGGACTTAATCCATTAAGTCCAATATTGCTTAGATTAATTTTTTCCAATGATTATTATTTAATATTTCAAGTTATCAAATAATTCCCGTGCGTCCCGATTAATTCCCCAAATTAGGCTTTCATATAAAATGACAATTAAGGTTAAGTGTTTCTCACTTAACCCATTAAGGACTTAATCCATTAAGTCCATCACTCTTCTAAATAGATCATATGGTGTGATTGGGCTTAACACACAATTCCATTCCAATGCCCAAATGTGGATCCCGATAGGTCCAAGCCCATAAATCCAATATTAGGGTTTTCTAAACCCTAATTAGGGTTTCCAACCCTATCTTAGTCCATTAGGCCCATTAGCTAGGTCTTTTGATTACTTAGGGTTCATTAGGCACATTATAATTTCAATAGACCCATTAAGGTTTCACTAAGCCCATTAGGGCTTCTTTGGTCCCATTAGGTTTTCAAGCACCCCAAACGAATCAATCACAACGAGGCAAAGCACACCGCCACCCGACACGGCGGCCGGTGGCGGCAGCCACCACCCTACGGTGGTGGTCTGAGATTTCTTATTATTATTTTGGCATCATTACAATGTACAACTCAATAATATACACACACACACTAATAGTAACACACACACACAACCACCCTTGTGGCGGACGGTGGTGGTAAGTGGTGGCAGCCATGGTGGTCGTCTTCTCCGTTTTCCGGCTATCAACGCTACCCTCAACACACACATATGAGTTGGACACATGAAACACACCCCATATGATCACAAAGCAACTCGAGGCACCCCCTGGTGGCGGTTAGGGACGACATCACCAAGGAGAGGCGACAGCGGCGGTCTTGACGGCAGCAGGACTAATCGGAAAGAAGAAAGATGGCGGGGAAGCAGCAAGGAACCGGGAAGAAGGAGGCTTCACGGCGACGGCAACCGCGTTCCAGCTCCACCGGCGACGACATGAGCGGCTACGTCATCTTGGAATGGCGGGACAACAGTAAGACATGGAGAAGGGAGGTAGTGGTCCAACCCCGAACCACCACACCTCCCTAAAATCATCGGTCGTCCGGTTTTCCCACGATGGATACACAACAGGATGCGGCGTTGGACAACCCTAGCGACATCGGCGACGTTGGCTGAAGGCGGAGCAGGAGAAACGCCACCCGGAAGTCGCTCTCGGTGGTTCTTCGTTCGTGCAAGGCGTCCGGCAGCAAGGCTGCAAACGGCGGAGGAACGGAGATGAGGGAGGAGCGGCGACAACAGCAATGCAACAGTGGCAGCCGAAAATTGAGATAGAGAGGGTGGTGGCTGTAGCTTCCCTTTTAGGTTTAGGGTTCCTTTACACTTATATACTGGCTCCATATACAAGTTTACTCCTTGCCCTTTTCTTTCAAAGCATGGCCAATATTTACTATTTAAACCCTGAATCCAAAAACTTCTTTCAT